ACCTCTAGCGTACATTATAATAACTCTATGGCCATGCGGACACGCTTGTCTAAATTTGATTAATGCGAGTGAATTAACTGTCCCATGGAGCGAGCCGACGTCATCAGCTTTGAATCCGCGCCGAACGTCGCGCCAAACGGCAGCTAAATTCCCCTTTCCCAATGAAGCGAAGTGAAGCAGCGATCTGCAGCCTCCCAGCTTCGAGGCTTTGCAAAAAGCCGCGAAAAACGGCAGCTAAATTTACCTCTCCAAAAAAGCTAAGTGAAGCCGAAATCCGATGGATTGGGTCCCATATGCTGTCGCGCATCATAGTTTCAGGGAACGAGGCTCCCATTGGCCGCCGCGCGTCAGTGTCAAGGAGCTCCACACCATGGCGCTGCGGGCCCGCGCCGCCTCAGCGCCGCCCAGAGCCGTTTATCGGGAGAGTTTGGCCATACATTGGTTTGAATAACCGAGCAACTCGGGGCCAACTACAGGCGTCGAATCAGCGCCCAGCTGCGGATCGTGAGCTCTAAATATGCGACACAACTAATTTAAGCCGTCTTAGCGTCGCTAGAGTGAAAAGGTATAACTCTCGGTGACTGGAAACTTGGCGCATGTGAGGTTTTCGTCACGTCCATATTCAACGACAGAATTAACTAACGTGCGCTCCAAGCCGGGGCCGACTTGCTAGAAACAGCGTCTCAGCTGAGACTGGGGGAAAGAAAGCACTTCCAAAGCCAGCGCACGAGCTGAGGGGGACTCAATCCGCGTCTCGAGACGCTCGCGAGCTCCAGCCTTTACAGTGTTTTCTTTCAGCCAGTCTCAGCTGAGCCGCTGTTCCACCAAGCCGGCCCAGAACAAACTGTCACCGAGAAGCCGAGATTGAACATTTCTATTTCACGCTTTAACCGCTCATTCACACTGGAAGCGGATCCGCGTTCGCAAGGCGGTTGCGAACGCGGTTGTATAAAGCTCCAGTACAATTACACGCGCACTTGATGTCATCGAGTGCGGCGAGAAGTTTCGGTGGCGCCCTCGTACGGTTACCTTTCGTGACGTCATTACCTTGCGAACATCAGGTTCGAAGGTGTGTGTATTAGCATGGCGGAAGCTTGAAATCATAGCGTTCTTGAATCAACACTGTCGACACCGTCAAAATTGAAGTCCTCACGTTCCTCTTATTTCTGTCAATGAGAACTCCTTTCCTGACGTCATAGTCAGCATTCGGCCAATCGTGGAAGGCCGACCACCGCGACGCTTTCGGTCGCGCAAGTCGCCAATACAACCGCGTTCGCAACCGCTTTGCGAACGCGGATTCACTTCCAGTGTGAATGAGCGGGTAGAGAGCCTATACAGGAACTCTAGCGCCGCCAGTGCGCCGGTGAAAGGAATCGGATGGCGGCGGGGCGTCCCGGAGCCCGCTCGGCCAGACTCGAAAGCGGAAGCACGGCCAATGTCAGCGCGGCGCGGGCACTTCACGAGAGGGCGCGCAAGAACAACATTCATGCTTTCACATACACAACTCATAGGAAGTGTCATAGCCTCCTCTACACTCACAAAGCTTGGCAGTTCGACGACAAAGCCATGGAGTGCACGGTCACATATTTGGAGCGCGAGGATCTGGTAGCACAGAGCATCTCTTGGGGGGCCTGTAGTTAGCACGCAGCTTTTGGAGTGGAGAGTATCCGAAACATGGTTCTGAAAGCCGAAAAAAAAAAAAGCGGTAGCGTTAGGAACGCAAGGAGCACGAGCGGACATTCCATCGCTCGGGGCAAGTGTGTTTCGGCGCCTCGCCGCAGCGGGGCGCCCGCTACATGTCTTTCCTCTCATCCGTTGCCCTTTCCGCTCTACCTTTTCACTTTCGGCTGCCGCCTCTCGTGCGACCTCCCAGGCTTTGTGAGTATAGAGAAGGCTATGGAAGTGTTTAGGTTTACCTCGAGCCTTTTTCTTTCTTAGTCCCAAGTTCTGCAAGGAAAGCTCCAGAAACATCAGAATCAACTCAGAGGACAAATTCTTGGTGATAGATGTTTTAATTTTAATGATTGCAATCGTTTCATTAGACGAACTGTTTACGATGGCGGCACGCGAAATATATCCTTGCTGCAGGGAAAACACTCGCTTTCAAGCTATAGGAATCGAGCAATTGACTCCTCTGTTGCTCTTTTTACATAGAAAGATAGGCTGCCCGATGTCAGGTAGGAAGTGGGCAGTAAGCGGGATTATGTCCCCACAATGCTGCCTACGTTGCCCGGTGCCAACGTAACAGAGAATAACTTGGTGCGCGGAACAAAGGAAAGCGCTTTGGTCGACCCTCCCCCCCCCCCCCCTTTAGGGTTTGTGTAGTTAAAAGGTGTAGGACAAAATGGGTTATGTACAAAATGAACCCGAACCAAATGATCCTTGTTAAAATGGTCCTGGTGGAAATGGACCAAAATGTAAACCTGAACAGAATTGACCCATGTGATTTCTTCAGATTTTGGGCACTTTTTGATGGATTTAGTTAATTGCAACTCTGAACGTGTAATTTCGAACGTTCATCTCTGAACGTGAATGCTGCCGTCCCTGGCGGCATCATTCACGTTCAATGGGAATGTCGCTCTTGCTGTAATGAACCCGTCGTGCAGCTTAATGTTGACCAGCTTCTGGTCTTTCAATTCCGATTTTATATTCATGGTTGTAGCAACCTCGGGAACAAAAGTCGACTTGGACAGCGATGTACGTCTTAGCGTCCTCGTAATAGAGTTTATATGTCATGAGCCAGCCATTCTTAAACTGGTACTCGTAGTTGATGATGAGTGTCCCGATGTGACTTTTGAACGGGTACATGTCGATGTACTTGGTAGTAGAAAAAATTACCTATTGCCGTGAATCAAGTCGTCACAAACGTTGTGCCGTGAGGCACCATGCGGCAGGGAACTGTGTCGGCCTTGGTCGTGCCGTGGTATCCAATGCAACACCCCAGTACCTTTCAGTGAGCCGGCCGTGCTCGACAGGGGTGTATTTTGTAGGGTAAGAAGTTATCACGGCCTAATGAGTTGCCGGGGCCCAGGTAGCGGTGCCCTGGAAAAGGAGGCATACCTAAGTAAAATCATTACACGGTTCATGATTGCCGACGACGACGACTTCGCCAAGTTAAAGCTTCCCCCAAATAAACGCGGCTATTGATGTTTGTAACCTCAGCTTACATAACCTAACCTAACCTAACCTAACCTAACCTAACTTATCGAGACCTCCTCTCTTGTCGAAGTGATTATATGAAGTATTCAATTAAAAATAACACGATGAATCTCTTGAATGCATAAAGCTTAATGGCGCCAGTTACCAAGAATGGGCTCCATCTTAGACTGACATTTCCAAAAAGTAACTTTCAACTTTTGAAAAAAAAAAATATAACGATTAATTTTGAAATGTTGCCATCTGGATCTGACCAGGGCTACACTTGGGCAGAGGCTGAGTGTTCGGTGATGCGTCGTAAACTTTAGCGGTGAAAAAAAAAAAAACATTTTTTTTTTTTGTGTGACACGCCCTTTATATATATTCTTTAGACCTACATGCTTTTTGCAAGGTTGGTATCAAATATTAGTCATAACGTTCTTGTTGCACATGTATTACTTATCTGGAATAACAGCAGTCCCCTTTTCTAACCGGATGCTGCCGAGGTCTTGTCTTGATGACTACCTGTCCATGCATTGATGCACATTTCCAATGAATCACCATTTTTTGTTTTGTTTCCTACATCAGCGGATGTCAGGAAGTTTCTAGAAGTCTCTTGCAGGAACTGCTATTTAAGCCCTCAAAAGAGACAGCGCTGCCAGCTTTACTGAAGACCCATCTAACCTCTTTGATTTACTGAGAACCCAATTTTATGTCTGTGAGTATAAGTTCTTTTATTTAAAATCTGTAGTATAAGTAATTTAGTTTCTGCATGGTTTTGATTCCAGCCCGAAAATAACCCGATCTTATCTCAAGAGACGGTTGAAAGGCCCAGTTCCTCCCAAAACTCTTCACCAGTACCGCTATATTCGAGATGATTCGACGAAATCACTGCATAGTTGTGATGCACCATTCACGGCATTATAAATATTTAACATACTGTAGAAACACTTAAGAAGTAACGCTCACAGTCTCCTTCCTCTTCAACTTTGGCGAGTATGTTGAGTTGTCGCTAAATCAACTAAAAATTTAACACCTCCTGCCCGCCCTTCTAGCCCTGCCCCCGCCCCCCACAAGTGTTCTAAAAAAAATTGAATTAGCGTTTTCTTTCACACAAAAAAAAAAAACTTTCAGAGTATGAAAATGTATATCTACGTCTTCATTTTGTGTTGGTGCGTAGCACAGCCCCACTGTACTCTTTGCGAGGCTCGTTCTTTTTTCAAGACCGTACCCCCTGTTTTGTTTAACTTTTTTTTTAATTATTTACGCAGGAACGTTTTAAAATGCTCGAGTCACTCGCATTTTTCATGGAGGTTGGAATATTCGATGCCCGTGTCTTGTTTTCTAAACGTAATGCGCGATTAACACAGATTGTTTCGTTCCACGGCCTAACCCCGAAAACACCAAACAAACAACAAAAAATGCACCCCCTAAGCAAAAGTAAAGGAGAAAAGATTAAAGCAAAATAACTCCCAAAACAAGGCGCACTAATAATAGGACGTTTTAATGAGTTTTTTTTTCTATGCGCTCAGAATGAGATTTTTCGGTAAGAAAGAAAGGCCTTAACAATACATGTAAGATGTGCAGTGCTGTGTTGCGGTTGCAATGGATGTGGTGACACTTAACATGTTTTTGTATGTTTGTTCTCGTTCGCGCCTGTGGGCCTGCGTGCGTGTGTGCGTGTGAAAGTGTGTTTTTGTTTGAATGAGGAACCCCAGGTACGCTGTTTTGAGTTTAATTACGACTTCATTCGACCGCTTCAAAGTATTCCTCTTGGTAGCTTTTTCAAGGAAAACAAGTTCCGTTCTCCAAATAGTAGCCATATTTTATTAATACCCAAAACCTATTTTTAATTCTAGACCAGCATGGAGAAGTCAGCGTACAGAGAAGTTGATGGCTACCATCTTAGCTGGGTCTTTGCCGAAACGAATGTCCGTTCGGCGTTGAACTACGTGCCCCAGCCTGGAGACGTGTTTATTGTCAGCTACCCGAAATGCGGAAATACGTGGCTAGAACACATCGTCTACAACATCTTCAACGACCGTGCTCCACCAAGCAGCTGGATCGACCATTTCCAGGAGATGCCTTTTCTGGAGCTGCAAGGCGCGGAAGCCGCGAGAGACATGCGAAGACCAGGATGCATCAAGACCCACATGCCTTTCCAGTTGCAGCCGTACTCCAGAGACGCCAAGTACATCTGCATCTGCCGAAATCCGTACGACTGTTGCGTGTCGTTCTTCCACCACACCAGGAACAGGCCTGTGTACCGCTTCTCCGACGGAACGTTCGACGAGTTCTTCGAAATGTTCCTTGCGGGAAAGGTGGACTTTGGAGACTACTTCACCCATCTGTTGTCCTGGTACGAACATCGCGATGACCCGAACGTGCTCTTCTTAACCTACGAAGACCTTAAGGAGGACACTGCAACATGGGTGATGAAGATCGCGGACTTTCTCGGAGACGACTACGGGAAAAAGCTACGAGCTGACAAAAGGGCCTTGGAAAATGTTCTGAAGAGGACAAGTTTCGAAGTCATGAAGAAACACGTGAACGAGTTGAACAGAAATATGATTCCTGATAGGGTTTCGATGCCGGACGAGAAAATACCCGAGTGGGTCAAGAGTTCGAGCAGATCTCTTGGTCAGTGGGAGCCCGACAAGAATCCGGAAGCTCGAGACATTGTGCGCAAAGGAGTCATTGGAGACTGGACGACACATTTCTCCGCAGAGCAAGTGAAGCGTCTGAAGGAGCACATTGAGTTGAAGACTCGTGGCAGTGATGTCATGAACTTATGGCAGAAACTTCAGCTGCCCTAAAGAAAATTGACTGCTTTTAGTTGATACTGAACAGTAAGCATAAGGAACTAGAGGCAGCAGCTCAAGATGATTGTTTAACTGGGCACGTTCAGTCATACTTTAGACATAATTTGAAATAAAACAGAAAGTGTATAGCCGTCTCCTTGTGCTTATATAGTTGTTCTTTGTTAGAGCTTCACTCTAAAGCAAATATCCATTTATATACGCTTTGCGGCCGCCAGCAGCATTGAGGCACACCCAAGAGAGAATGATGGACATAAATTGGTTTAGTTAGTTTCTAAATGGATGGTGGCGAGCGACGCTGCACAAGTGTTTTAAATTTAACCTACATATGTATATACTATATAACTAGGTGAATTTTAGCGATCATTTGCCAATGGATAAAATTATGAAGATTCTCTCTACACCGTGAATGCCAATCATTCATTCAATGCTTCCGAAAAATGTCTAGTTTGGAACTGAAGTATAATAGCAAGATTGCTCTAGCGTCATGCGTTTTTGTTCGATTCATTTAAGTACGTCTATGAACATGTTGTATTGTTACACAAGAGCAGGTCCTGAATTAGGCTGCTATTAACCAAGGGATGTCAAGTTCCACATACTGCAGCTTTTCGCCCCCAACCACCATCTTTTTTTTAAAACGAAAAACAAAACAATAATTGATCGATTGGTCTCGGGTAGCACTATATCGTATCTAGCAAAAAAAAAATTATGACCAGGAAAATTAAAGTTTGCATAAATATTTCATAAAAATAAAAAAAGAACACCAACACACGTTTTCAGCAACCGTAAACCGCATTGCCAAAAGCTAAAAACAGAAAACAAAGAAATATAAAAGGTGAAAACAGGAAAAATCCGTCGATTTTTAAAATAATTTAATCAGTAACAGAAAAACGTGCCACTGCCCGGCAATACTGTGTCCTCATGAGATACCTAATGTTAATAGAATCGACGTAGATTATACCATAGTGCCTGGAGCGCGTCCCGTACTGGTGCGTTTAGTGCCACATTTCCGCCCAGACATCACATATCATACACCACATGCCTCCAAACCTTTTTATGGTTTTTGAGACGGGAAAGTCTTTGGGTCTCTTTTCGCAATGTTTGCCCATTCTTGCATCGAAATATATAATTATTTTAGAAACTTGGCGGAATCTCAATAAACGTTTTTTTTCTCCTTTGCCTAATAGGTTCCTTAGGTAAATTTATGAGGTGCGGTTTATTCTTAGTTGATGCCGCGAACGTTTCGAAGAAAGCAGCAGACGGAAGGTCTGAACAGTCAACACACCCCCCAGGCTCTGTTCTCACTGAATCAATGCGAGCTGACCTAGCCTTCGTGTGCAATATGTGCCCGGCGATGGCCAACCGCCGGTGACGTAGAGCACTAGAGTTTTCTATCTAGTTGGGGTTGCCGATCCGAAGTACGAACGTCGAATCTTCATTTGACGAGTTGAGTGCGGCTCTCGTGCACTGCGGATATGAATACGCGGTACACACTAGACTCAACACTGGAACATCTCTAAAGACCGTCTCTGTGTGAGGGTACCTTTGTTGAACTAGGACATACAGTTGGGTTGGGAGACAGAAAAGTACATAGTTTAAGCATAAGTACAATAGAACTTTAAGACACAAGCATATACAAGTTGCGAGACGAACTCATTGAATATATACATCCTGGCCAGTCGGCGAATAAAGTAGCTTGGCATTTTCCTCCACCCCACACAATTCAACGAGGCGCTAGTTTGAAAAAACAAACAAACAAAACAGTTCATAGCATTGTATTTTGTTTACGGATTATGCGGGGGTCTCGCTGCTCTGTGAAAGGGAAAGAAAAAAGATGCGGGTAAACACAATGCTCTGTTGCTGCGTGTGGAAGTGGAACATTTGTTTCGTTTGGATATCGATTTTAATGAAGCAGGAGCGGATGAGGGTACGTGTATTAGAGCAGACAACTGCTGCCTAATAGTGTTTTTCAGGGAAGGAAACGCTCAGCTGCAAGAAAGTTACCTCAATACGGTACGACTACAGGGCAAGCAAAATTATAAGGTTTTTTGCACTGCACCAACAAGCTACGCATCGCGGAACGCTCATTATCCGTAGAAATGGAGCCTGTTGGGGCTATGACTGGGCAAGTAGAGAGGGCAGAGTACATGTGGGGGAAAGTACATAGTGCAGACTGCATGGTGTCTAAATGACCGCCTTCGAGAGCATAGAAACAACATCGTGAACGCCTACTGGGGGCATTCAGGAAGTCACTGTAGAGACTGCGTGTGATCGGCGCTTCCAAAATAGTGTACTGGGGTAGGTAAGAGTCCCAACCAACTCCCCTGAGAAACGATAGAAGCAGCAAGCTTTGAAAGACGGAATGACAGGTGTGTCAGCAGCCCATCTATAACGCTTTCAAAAAGAGAACTGGAATGTCTGACCGCAGGGTCTCTCAAGCGGCAACAGTTAGAATTCTTTTTTACTTTTTATTTTTCAGTTTTAATATTTTAATTTTATTCTTTTATTTTTATTTTTTATTAATTTGTAAGAAAATTTTATAATTGCTAGATTTTCCAATTTTTGGACTGGCAATAATGTTTGGAGGTGGGCTAGTCGGTGGTGCATTGTAAATATATAAAAACAGCGCAAACGAACACAATATTTACAATGCACCACCGACTCCACCACCTCTAAACATTACTCAAGTTCCTTTCTTGTACATCGATCCCTTTTACGTGTTCCTTCAGTCTTTTACACCAAGACATTGTCTATAATAATGCCATCGCTGTTTCTACGTGCAAAACAAGGCAATATGGGTACGCTGCTAAGAAAGGCAATTGCCCCCCTGAGGTAGTAAGCCTTTTTAGATTGATGCCTCCGTCGCCTGGACATGCCAAGCGCGTATGCAAGATTCTCCGCTCGGAACACTGGAGGCAAGTCAGGCTTCTGCATGACTGCTTAAAAGTGCGGTGTTATAACACGTGTACTAAGAAACACAGCGCGAGGAGAAAACTTCGTACGTGTCAATTGGAGTGTTCACGTATTGCCGAGTTCTTACTGCATGTACGTTCCATGTTCCCTAAGAAACACAAAGAACCGCCTCGTACAGTGAACAGTGTTGTCATACCTAAAACTGTGCACACGCACAAAAGAAAGAGAATAGAAGACAAGAAAGAACGTTGACTTCCAACTTATGTATTTTGAAAGCAAGAGAAAGAACTTGTGATCTGGTTTTGATTGACGTGGAAGACCTTTTCTACTCTATTCCCCATGAGGGTCTCATTCGAGCGGTTCAACTTTGCATTGACTTAAACGCTTCTGATGCCTTCCAGAATTCGACTGGTATTTCAGTAGAAAAGTTTTTGGATCTTCTCCGGTTTTACTTATATTCATCATTTATTGATTTTGAGGGCAACACGTTTCTGAAAAAACCAGGAATTTGCATTGGGTCTAGTGCTGCTCCGATATTAAGTGATATCTACCTAGCAGGTTGTGATTGTACCATTGCAAAATTGTTAAATTATCGTTTTTTGAAAGTCTTCCGGTATGTTGATGATTAAATGTTTGTGTTTAAACCTAAGCAAGGCTCGGGAAGTGCTGACTTGGTCTCAGAGTTATTAGACACCTTTCGAGAGTGCTCTGCAGGTCTGCGTCTTACGAATGAGGTTCCAACCAAAAAAGCTTTGCGATCGTTGGACCTAAACATTCGTCTTGAACCGAGCCACCTGTGCTCGGCTTAAAAGCCTAGAACAAAAAAAAAAGGCCCTCCTTAGCTATGAATCTGCGCACTCAAAAGTTGTAAAAATAGGTATTGCAAAATCATGTTTGAGAGCTTCTTTATTGAAATCCTGTGTTCACAGAAGTTTCAACAGCTTTCTGGTTCAAGTCGATAGGCTAACAAAAGTGGGTTTCCCGAAACATGTCATAGTGGGGGTAGCGGAGTGACTTTTAAAATTATTCAGGAATTCCCTTAGCATACTAGAAAACGCTAGACAAAAACCTGCTTCTCGACCGGTGGTAACATCCCATTTGCACCGCTTCTCCCACAGGTTTAAAAACATAGATGTTAAATACGAAGTCCCTAAAGTCTTTTCAGCACCTAACAAGTTATTGGGCGGACGGTTAGATTTGTTAATGTAAGACCTCGGGAGCATTCTTTGTCTTTGAGGTCTTCACCTTTGGGTCACCTAGCCGTTCCTTGTGGTAGGTGTGGCTGTTCACCTCGGTTAGGTAACATTGATATTTTGGCTAAACATTCACAAAAAAATGGCTAGGGAAATTCATGAAGCGGTTTAGATTCGACAACACGGTCCCAATCTATACGTAAGTTCAGAGTCAGCTACGTTATCCAGTGAAGAGGTAGAGTTTGTTCGGAGTTTGGGTACGTATGTTTAATACTTTCTTTCTTTTTCCGTGGAAGCGATTCTATAGACGCTTCACACACGCGCCAGATTACAGACGCCATTGCCGACCTTCTATTGTCTTACCGAGATATCAAACCACTGAAGCGGTCTTTGGCGAGCCTCCACAAAGGCAAATGCTGGGAAAAAAGACACCGTTGTATCTAAAATGCCAGTAACCTGTCCTCCTATGTAATGATGGAGCAGAGTGAAAAATAGAAGCGAAAACAAAAACTGAAGGGCGGTTATCGCGGCGCCCATGCACAGCTGCTGTAAAGCGTCTATAGCTACAAGCACGTACATGCAGCCTGAAAACAGTGCCCACAGACCAGGAGGCCACGTGCGAGACAGGTACAATAGAGCATTAGGGCTCGCGCTGTAGTTTTGGCTTTTCTTAGACATGATGCGGAAAGATGTATAGTTATATATTTCTATTAGCGATGTGCGCGGCCAAAAGCGTCGCTGTGGTCAGCATTCCACGATTGGCCAAACCATGGCCATATGAGCATTGTCAGATTGTCAACTTTGACGGTGTTAGTTTCGGGTTACGATGGCTCCTAGCTTCTACTGTGGTTTTTAAACACACCATCTAACTCGTCGTTGCACCCAATGGTAAGTAGCCAGAATAACAACTGGTGACGTCACGGCGAGGCGAATCCCAGTCGTGACGTCACGGAGGGAAACCATAAG